CCCAGCTGAATCTTACAGTGCTTGAGGGTAAGAAAACATGGATGTTTGGATCCTACCCAAAGTAATTTATTGTGTCGTCTCTATCCAAAATTGAATGGAAATGACAGCTAACACCATGACTTAATGAGATCAGGGCTGCTGTTGAGTGAGAGGCCATTGTCAGTTAAGATGCAGAGGCTGCTTTGTGCTTAGGCCCTAACCTGATCCAAGGGACTAACGGAGAATAGGCTGACTTGTATAAAGCTGATTCCATAGCACTTAGAGCTTCATTACAGGAAATGAGAGATGCTATTCTACTATGTGTTATTAAGTTTTGAATCAGTGGCTTTCATTTATTTATTTTTCATTATTTAATTATTTGTGTTTTTAATTGACATATAATGATTATATATACATTTATGGAATACAATGTGTTGTTTTGATACATGTATGCATTGTGGAGTGATCCAATCAAGCTAATCAATATATTTATCACCTCAAATACTTACCATTTATTTGTATTGAGAATATCTAAAATAATTTCTTTTAACTATTTTGAAATATTCAATACATTATTATTAACTGTAGTTATCACGCTGCAACAGATCTTCTGAAATTATTCTTCCTGTCTGGACTGAAACATTGTACCTTTTGATCAGTGTCTCTCCTGTCCCTGTCCCCTTGCTCCTCCCCAGCCCCTGGTAATCACTGCTCTACTCTCTCATTCAACTTCTTTAGAGTCCACATATAAATGAGATCATGCAGCATTTGTCTTTCTGTGCCTGGCTCATTTTGATTAGCATAATCTCCTCTAAGGTTCATCCATGTTGCTGCAAATGACAGGATTTCCTGTTAAAATCAGGAAATTTTAAAATATAGGAACTACTAGATAAAGGACTTAAAAGTCTTTTTTAGATTTGGACATGGTCAATAACTCTGTGTAATTATTTATTTGACTTTTTAGGGACCAGGGGAGGGAATTAAATCTTTATTTACAGCTCTTTCTTCTTAGCTTCAAGGCCAGATTCAAGTTCTAATGCAGGGACAGATTACAACTCCAGCAAGCAAAGCTACTTGTTAGTAAACATGCAAGAGTGAGTCCATGCTTTTCCAGAGTGTCACTGTTTATACTTCAGGAATATTCAGGTGGAAAAAGCCTGTCTGTTACTAAGCCAGCCTGACATGCCTAATGGCAGTTCTGGCCCTGGCCTGCCAGGGCAGTAGGGACTCAGAGTCTAAGCCGTCTCACTCTTGGCTCTCAGCTTGGCATGTTTAAAAAGCAGTTCCAACTGACAGCCCCAGGGATTTCAGTATAAAAATGCTGAAAAACCTGAAGTACAATGTTTTGTTTATAAAAATCACAGGGGCCACAGTCCTGTCTAAGAGAGTTCAGGGAAATGCATTGGTATAATCTCACAAAGGCATCTTGACCAAGGATTTCTATTTGATTTAATCTACATCCATAGCAATTCCATAATTGAATAAGAAGGCATTTATTATGAAAGTCACAAGTATATTTCTGACTGTGACCCAGGCAGCCCTAGCTATGTTCTTTCCTTTTCTTCTTTTTCAAGTGCAGTGACTAAAAGTTTTGGCCAAACTTCCTTCCTAGAGGGAGATTTTTTTTTATTTTTTTATTTTTATTATTATTATTATTTTTGAGACAGAGTCTCACTTTGTTGCCCAGGCTAGAGTGAGTGCCATGGCGTCAGCCTAGCTCACAGCAATCTCAAACTCCTGGGCTCAAATGATCCTGCTGCCTCAGCCTCCCGAGTAGCTGGGACTACAATCATGTGCCACCATGCCCAGCTAATTTTTTCTATATATATGAGTTGGCTAGTTAATTTCTTTCTATTTATAGTAGAGACAGGGGTCTCACTCTTGCTTAGGTTGGTTTCCAACTCCTGCAACCTCTAGCAATCCGCCTGCCTCGGCCTCCCAGAGTGCTAGGATTACAGGCGTGAGTCACCGCGCCCGGCCAGGGGGAGATTTTTAAATGTGTTGTTCACCCGTTGTGAAGGAGACAGAAGCAACAGATGCCCGACGAGCACGTCATCTGTGTGTGGATGACAGTGTGGATGTCCTCGCAATGGCTCTGCTGGGCGGATTCCAACAGTGATTCTACTTGTAGGGAGATGAAGTCGGCTGAATGAATGGAAGAGCTATCTTGGGAGTCTGGCCTTAGGAGCAGGGAAGACATTCCACAGGGTGGAAACAGCATGTTCCATGGCAGCGAGGCTAAGAGAGAATATGGATTCTGGGTTCTCCAAGTCATTTCCTGCATGGGGTGCTGATAGGCAAAGAGATGATGAGAAACCTGGAAAGGCAGAGTGGTCCCAGGTGTGGCAGCTCCTGAGAGGGCAGTCAGCTGTGTATCCTCTCCGGGCAATCTCATCAGACCTCTGACCGCAAAGCCATCATATGCAGCAAATTCTAAATAGACCTCTCCAGTACTTGCTGCCTACTTGCTATTTCCAACAAGAATGCCTGCAAGGCATGTCAGAACTGAATTTTCAAAATAGAATGTTGACTCTTAGTCCCCAACCTGCTTCCCTCCTGGCTATCCCTGTCATATCAATAAAGACAAAAATATAGGAACTACTTTTGATTCTCTTCTGTCCCTCCTCCTCCTACATCAAATCTGTCAGCTGATCCTACTGACTCCAAAACATACTCCAAAGACACAACCCACTCTCTAAAGCACACCCATCACTTCCCTGCTGTTGCCTCCCCTCTCCTCTGCCCCAGGCAGCAACTAGAATTATCTCATAAAGCAGATCATGTCTACCCTTAATTAGAAGGAGTGGTCGGAGATCAAAGTCTGATTAGAGTAGGTTCAAGAGAAGTTAGGTATGGAACCATTTGACTTTAAATGGAGGTGTGTATCTGGCCAACTCTTTCTGAGAGTTTCTCTTTTAGATGGAGGCAAATGTGGTTGAAAGTGCATACTTTTCTAAGGTGAGATAGCCAGACATGTTTATTTGTTGATGAGGCTGATCCCGGAGAAAGGGGGCACACGGTAATGCAGCAGAGAGGGGAGAATAGCTGGGCAGTTCTCTCCCTGTGTCTTGAGCAGATGGGATCTGGTAACTGTGGCTGGAGCAGTGCAGCTCCCTGCAGCTGCAGGAGGAAGGCAGAGTGTGTGCATCAGCTGCAGGGAGGTGGTCTGATGTACTGGCCAGAGTTTGTTGTTGCCCTCCCTGGGAAGAAGAAAGCAAGGTCATCCTCTGAGAATGAGGAGGATGAGTTGGTAGGGCTTGTTCTCTGGGGGAGTGGAAATGGCCATGGGCCTGGGTACACTTGCCCTCTTTCTGCACATACCATAGAGTCTTGGACCGGCTTTTCCCTCACCTGGGATGTTCTTTGCTAGGACTTTCATATGGCTGGAAGCTTGGTGACATGCAGAGCTTAGCTGTCACCTCCTCAGAGAGGCTCTCCCTGACCTCCAGATCTAAAATAGCCACCCAGTAAGTCACAATCCTATCTCATCCTATTTGAGTTATTTGAATAGCATTTATTACTGCATGATATTTAACTTGTTAATTTTTTACTTGTTTGCATGTTTATTGCTGTATCTCTTACTAGAGATACTAGGACACACTAGGCCTTATATGGATAAGAAAATCTTAATGAGTAGGCATGAGATATTTCTTTTGCTTCAGGAAAAAAATGCAACTATGCCATGGTAGAATACAGTAGAATCCGAATTGAATCAGCCTGGGATTAAATCCCTCTGTGTGTGTGTGTGTGTGTGTGTGTGTGTGTGTGTGTGTGTGTGTGTGTCTAGTTGGGTGGGTGTTAGAGGGGATGCATACTGTAGCCTGGGGTCACCTATGATCTGTACCGTCCTTGGCACACAGAAGGTCTCTGTCCTCAAGGCCGTTCAGCACTTAACTTGAACTGGCACCAGCCCCTCCTGTGCCTGCCTTCCTCCGGTGAACTTGGTCATAGTAGGAGACCACGCACCATCACTGAGTGTTATGTAAATATCTGAACTAAATGTATCAAGGAAGAACTTTTAAAATGGGAAAATGGAGAGACCAGACTGTACTCTTCACATCTCAACTAAATGTCTGGATGGGGCCTAAATTATATATTAGATCCTTCTCTCTTTCACTGGGCTGAAGGTGTGAAGTGTGTCATCCCAGAGGGCAAATGCCAACAAAGTTTCATGTGTCTCCAACAGACTTCTTTGTCTTAAGATGATGGCTTAAAAAAGCCCACCTAACCCTTTTAGGGAAAGATTTTTGATCAGCCAAAAAGTTTATCCTATTTATTCTTTAAAAGCAAGACAAACAAGCAAAAACATTTCAAGCATACCCAGTTTAAAATAACACGTGGAAATATACATGTGTTCTGGGACATGTGTTTCTCCCCAAATCTCTTAACAATAGTGCTGAGGTGCTGAGTTGCCCAGGATTGAACCAATGTATCGTCCTCTAAAAGGATAAGATAGGAAGGAAGCAATTGTATATTCAGCCAAAAAGCTCAAGACTGCTTATCCCCCTCCCATGGTCAGGAAATGCAGAAATAGCAAACAAAGATAAACTTCAGAAAGAAAAGGGATTTCCTAAGCACTGATGGAACCCATGCTTTCATTTAAAGTCACGGGTAGTTTTATCAAACCTCCCATCACCATGGGAGCAAACACTGTAAATTTGAAGAACCAAACCCAGCGTGATTAAGCTAAGATTGTTAATAGTTGTTTCAGACAGTTTCTTCTAGGCCTGTAAAACAGAAAATGAGCACATATAGCTAAAATGGCATGTTATTAGGGACCCTATGATTAGTGATGTTTCCTGTTCACTTTTTCAGGCAAGATGAAAGTTACTTGGGCTCATGCAGGGACTGTCAGAGACCTGGAGGGATTGAAGTAGTTGTCTATGTTTTTTTTTTTTTGTTTGTTTGTTTTTTACTGATTTATGCAATTCACCTCATTGACTAAACCATAAAGTAGAAGCCATATAATCTTCTGGGTGGGTAGGCTGGACTGCAGTATTTTCTGTTTTTCATTTATTTAGACTGGAGGAGAAAAAATAGACTCAGAAGAGGCACTAATCTATGAAGAGGATTTAGACGGAGGAGATGGTGGTGAAGGCGAGTTGGAAGAAAGCACCAAATTAAAAATATTCCGCAGGCTTGCCTCTGTAGCTTCCAAGCTTAAGGAGTTCATCGGCAACATGATAACCACTGCTGGAAAAGTTGTTGTCACCATTCTACTGGGTTCCTCAGGTGAGTGTTTCCAGTACTGGCTTGCTCTTGGTAAAAAGGCACAAGTAGCACTTTGGTGAATAATGAAGGAATTGGCTGCAGAGAAAATAAAGAAGGAAGCAGTCCATTCCATGATACAAAATTAATAACAGTAGATCTTGTAAATCTGGCCACACATTTAAACCACACAAAAAAATAATTTTTCCTATTCAGTTTTAGTTTTGATGTTTTTAGATGGTTTCTGTTAACCTCTATAAAATAATCTTTTTCCATATCTGTTAAGTGACCTCATTTTCTATGTTTAGATTAGAGTAACAACTATCCCTCTTCTTTAGAGTCTTCAAATGATGAACGGCTACAATTAACAATTTGAGTGTACCCATCCCAGTCCATACTGGAACATTCTGAAGAGTTGTCTGTTTACATTCAGTCAGTAATAATCTTAATTTAACTCTCCAGGATATACTATTTTTCTTCCTAAGTTAGATTGTAATCTTCCAGAACAGACACTCACTTCCTTTAAATTTTGGCTGCAGAATGCTTATTCCATAATAATGTTATCTCAATATTTTTTCTCCTTCCATTCCACTGCTCACTGCTGCTCCTGTGGGAAAGCTTATGAGAGTTGACTCACCCAAACTGCAAAGATGAAACAATTTAACTGTTTTTTAATAGGGGGAAAAAGAAAAGGAAAAGAAAATAGAGTATCTCGAGAAATAAAACCTGATGTTTTAATAAGGAGTCATTTAAAAATGCCCAATAAAAATGTTTAAAAATACCTATAAAGAAGTTATCTCACTTTGAATCTCTCCTTTTGGTAATAAATTACCAAATTTTGTTAGGTAAGACAAAGTTTTAGTGAGATTTTAACTGCCACAGGATGTACTATTATTATAACTCTCAGTTAACTACAAAACAAAAGTAAATCATTATAAAGAAAACCTTGTGAGGGAAAGTTGGATGGACATACAGGTACCTGTATTCCCGAAAATTTTGGGGAGAAGTAGAAAGATGGAAATAGGCAAGTAAATATGCAGATACTACTGGTATGGAAAGTAGAAGTTCCCTTAGCTCAAACACTACAGGTAAATTTCTTTATCATCTGGTATTTCTCTCTATCTACAAAATTATCACTTTGTGTGTGACTTTTTTCTCAATAAATATAGCATTAATCTGATTATATAAATAAAATATGATTAGTATTTTAAAAACCTGATCAATACCTAAAAATGTATGAGGGAAATTCACATAATTTCTCTTTCTTTTTTTTTTTTTTTTAACCATCTCAAGTACATGTGCAGCACACGTAATTTCTAATAGCTACATTTACTGAGTGGTGAGTGAATTTCTAGTTCTATCCCATTTTTGATGACTGTATTTCTTCTTCCTTAGGTATGATGTTGCCATCTTTGACCTCATCCGTGTATTTCTTTGTGTTTTTGGGTCTGTGTACCTGGTGGTCCTGGTGTCGGACATTCGATCCATTGCTATTCAGCTGTCTCTGTGTTCTGCTGGCTATTTTCACTGCTGGACACTTGATTGGACTTTATTTATACCAGTTCCAATTCTTTCAAGAAGCAGTTCCACCCAACGACTACTATGCAAGGTAAGAGAAATCTTTAAGACATTTCAAGGAGAGGATGCTCCCTCCCACCCCTTCAGGACCTTGTTTGGTACTGTGAATTTGCAGGGATTCTTCTTGATAGCAGGCAACTGATGTTAATATTAAGCAAAGATTTGGTGGGGATGGGTGAGGCAGTCTAGCACTTTAATTTCATTGGATGACACAGTCTAGAAGGAATCTGAAGAGGGTCTCCTTGGAGGTGCTGCTGGGATGTGGAAGGAGGTTGAGCTAGTGTTTGTAGTGAGTAGAACAGATACAGGATCTTGGCTTGTGAAAGAGATCCAGGAAGAACATTTTACACCAAGGAATAATAAAAATATGTCACAAGCATCCAGCTAGAAAGAGCTCTCATGGGCTCAATGTATGAAACAAATTGAGCATCAAAAATAATAACTAGGGCCGGGCGCTGTGGCTCACGCCTGTAATCCTAGCTCTTGGGAGGCCGAGGCGGGCGGATTGCTCAAGGTCAGGAGTTCAAAACCAGCCTGAGCAAGAGCGAGACCCCGTCTCTACTATAAATAGAAAGAAATTAATTGGCCAACTGATATATATATATAAAAATTAGCCGGGCATGGTGGCGCATGCCTGTAGTCCCAGCTACTCGGGAGGCTGAGGCAGAAGGATCACTCAAGCCCAGGAGTTTGAGGTTGCTGTGAGCTAGGCTGATGCCACGGCACTCACTCTAGCCCGGACGGACAACAAAGACTCTGTCTCAAAAAATAATAATAATAATAACTAATTGGTTTTAAAAATTAAAAAATAAAAATTCATAAGTCCATGGAGAGAGAGAGAAATCTAATAATTTGCTTCATTTGGAGATGTCTATTACACCAACTCCTTACTGTGAAAATGGGAAATAAAGATAAATAATTCAGCATTTACTTGGACTTTTTAGAAGAACTCTAGGCCTTTCTCAGTAAATGAGGGAAAACTCCTCTTTACAGGATAGTGCCAGCTAATGAATGGAAAAGGAATAATAGAATTAGAAAATTACCGTTTGTCAGTCCTTAATGAAGTATTTGCTTAGGGCCACCACCTAAAATCATTCCTTTAAAAGGTTTTTGTGATGTTTGCACAATGACAAAGTATAACCTCACTGATTGTTTTCTGATTGCAAAGGAAAAATCATAGTTTTTGAAGGTGGTCAACACCTTAACCAACTGACTAAAATTAACATTAAATATGGGATAGCTCGACATTTCACACCTGTCGATGTGACGCAATAGATGAGCTGTACAGCATCACATTGTTAAGGCTTTTGAGTTAAACTTTAGTTTACAGAAAATATAAAGGATAGGAAATAATTTAAGTGGCTCCACAAGAAAAACTATCAGAAAAATCCAGAATGTGGATTCTTCAAGGCAGATGATGTGCTTTCTTCACAGATCAGCATCATGAAAAAGAGATGTGTATAGAGAGAGTGGAATCACGGATTGTCTAGTTTAGAGTAGAACTAAAGATACCTGACACACATGTGAAGCATGGCTGTAGATTAGATTCTGGTTCAACAACAAATCTCTAAAACACATTTCTGGGTTAAGTGGGGGAAATTTCACTGGATATTCTTTGGATATCAGCTGAGAGTATAGAATTATTGCTAATTACTTAGGTGTATGATGGTATTGTAGGTACACAGAAAAATGTCATGTTTTCGTGGTGGATTGTTTAGGGATAAAGTGCCATGATACTTGCAACTGTCAAATTGTTTAGCAACAAACACAATAGATTACATACATGCGTGTGTACTATTGATAGGTACACAGAGAGAAAGAGAAGATAAATAAAATTATTTAAACTAGGTGATCAGTGTGGGGTTATCTGTTGTCCTATTTGAACTTTTCTTTGTCTAAGGAAAGGTTCATAATTTAAAGTTACAGAAAAGACAGGGAACTGAAATGGTAGGAGAAGATGTGAATGTGAGCTGAAGATGGTGCCAGAATTCTCCTCTCTACTGTGCCTCCAGGAAGCGGTGTAGTAGTATTTGTATTCTTGTTGAGAAATGAGGAACCTGCAACTTAAAAGAGCATGAATAACAGTATCACACCAGCAACATGGGCTATATAGGTTTGCATCATTCTTTCAAGAGATCCTAATGTGGCTTTTATGTGATAGTAAGTATGAAGATGGAATGTGTGTATGGGCCCTGTGACCTTGCTCTGATTGGTTCATGTATAAAACTTGGCCAAAAAGTTAGTTATGGTTATGTCTACACAGTGCTTAAAAAATTTGTCAGTCAAATTCTAAAACCACTTAAATTCAATTAAAATAAATTTGGTGTCCAATGCATACACACACACACACACACACACACACACACACACATACACACACCTCTTCACCCTAATTCTAAATCCAGTTGGCTCAATTGATTGTATTAATATTAACCTGGAAACTCAAGAAGCGTAATTCAATCAAATAAGAGAAGGATTTTATACAGACACATTAAAACTGAGGAGCCTTTTCAATGGTGCATATTCACATAATATTTATTTTAGGCAGGAGAAAATAAATGTTAAATTTAAGTACAGACATTAGTTCTAGACTAAATGAATCCTTTCTTAGTTTCTTTTAGACATTCAATTTTTGGTTTATTGAACACATACAGAAAAAATGTTTTGTGCTGTCTAAAAGGCTGACTTTTTAAAAATGACTTAATTGGAAATTTAAATATCCCAGTACTTTTTTGTTTTTTAGACTTTTTCTCCTTACTAGTTGAAGTGTCTTTTCTGCCATCTAGAGGCTGACTATACAAAATACAAAGACTGTTCATAGTCACTTTGACAGCGCTTGTGTAGATCAGGCAAGCTTTCTCTGTAAAGGATCATTTAGCAAATATTTTAAGCTTTGCAGGCCATACAGTCTCTGTCGCAGTTCTTTCAAGAAGTCATTGTAGTGGCCAAAGCAGTTAGGACAAGGTGTAAAAAAACAAGCATGGCTGTGTTCCAATAAAACTATGCTTATGGACACTGAAATTTCAATTTCATATTCTTTTTATATTATATGGACTGTCATTTTTCTTTTCATTTTTTATAACCATTTAAAAATGTAAAAACCATTATTAGTTCACAAGCTGTGTCAAAACAGACATTGAACCAGACTTGGCCCACAGGCCATAGTTTGCCCTCCTATGGTATGGAGATTAACAGTTCTAATATTATAACTTATCATATCTGTTTTTCATTTGCATTGTCACAACTTAAAATTATTATAATATATTACAGACATTTTTAGATAATCCCTTTTACAATTTAAGATATCTGTTACTGCAATTTCATAGTTACTAGAAGTTAGGTAGTGGCCAATCAAGGTGGCTCATGTCTGTAAACTCATCATTTTGGAAGGCTGAGGTGGTAGGGTTGCTTGAGGCCAGGAGTTTGAGACCAGCCTGGACAACATGGCAAGATCCTGTCTCTACAAAAAATAACAAAAAAAATAGCTGGGTATGGAGGTGCACTCCTGTAGTCCCAGCTACTCAGGAGGCTGAGGCAGGAGTATCGCTTGAGCCCAGGAGTTCAAGGCTGCAATGAACTATGATCAGGCCACTGCACTCCTGCCTGGACCACTGTCTCAAAAATAAAAAGGAAGTTAAGTTGCTTATCAGGGTGTCAGGCTATAGAAAATTTGAGCTAAACAAAGCAATACATAAAGTTTCTTGTGGTAGATTTTTTTTCTCCATTAACTTGGTGACAACAGGATATCATTGTATTTTATTGCTTTAAAACTTAGAAATTAACATCTTTAAAACAATAGCATTTTCCTCAGTCATAATTTCAATGTATTGTTACTAACTCCAAACTCTCAGTTGGAAGAAAACAAACTAGAGACTAGCAAAAAAAAGAAAGAAAGAAAGAAAGAAAAATCTTGCGGGGATGTTTGTGGCAAATTCATAACCACAGAGACTCCAGCCCTTATATCCAGCTTGTGGATAAAGCTGTCCTTAAAATAGTGCAAGCAATTTTTATCTTCTCATAGGCTTTCAAATGGGCCCTCTGGTGAGATTTAACCTTATTTTTAGAAACACTGAATTGATTTTTGTTTGTCATTACATGTTTGTTGGTGATTATTTGGAAAAAAAATAAAGAATAAGGGGAAAAACACTTTTTAAAAATGTAATCCTAACTCTCAGAAATATACACCATTGCTTTTTGACATATACTTTTACAGTATCTTTCATATGCATATATGTGGTTTTTAAAACAAATTTTGAATCATTTTGCACATACTGTTTTACAACATGCTTTGCTCACTAAAGTTGTGCATTTTCCTATGTTATAAAATGTTCTTTTAAAATGTGATTTTCATAGGCTGCAAAGTATTTCTTTGTGTAGCTGTGTTATAACTTAGTCCCTGAATTTTGACCACGTCAATTATTTCTCATTTTTGTTCTCATGAATAATGCTGTGATGTGTACTCACAGTACCTCTAAATCTAAACAAAACCTATGCTGAGCAAGTTGCAACCCCATGTTCTCTTGATTGTGAAAGAGCCTCTCCAGGGCTATGAAGTGCTAGCTTCTGCTGGAGCATGCAGAGGTTTCAGGGTCCCAGGCCGACATATGTTAATTTCCTAGGGCTTGATGCCCTCACCATGCAGAGGTTGTAAACTGAAATCCCATGCCTACGTGCACACAGATCAGGTTTCATTTTTTTTTTTCTTTAACCCAATGGCAACAAGAGATTATCTGCTTCCTTCCAGCTTCAGCCCGACCTGTAGTAGAATTTTCCCATTACTTTTATCTAGGAGAGGGTAAGAATTAGTAATTCCCTTCCATTTGTGCATACAGGCATGGCTTGACCATATTTTCTGAAACAAAATTCAAGATGCATTATTTAACAGTGATGAGTGTATTTATGGAAAGGTTAAGACACTACATCTGAACTTAAGATTATTCTTCCCAAATTTGAAATGCTATAGTCTATTATAACCATAAAAAAATTAATGACACTTCAGAAGTTGATCCAGCAAAGTAAAGCTTCAAAACT